GAACAGAGACTAGCCCTTCAGAACTCGCCAGCAGGGGGAGGCGTTGAGAGGGGAGAGAAGAGGCTGGGGTGGAGTGGGGCGGGGTCCCAGGCCTGGAGACCCTGCCTGACCCTGCCTTTCCTCTGGCCAGTTCGTGCCCTTCAGGGACTACGTGGACCGCACTGGCAACCACGTGCTGAGCATGGCGCGCCTGGCCCGCGATGTGCTGGCCGAGATTCCTGACCAGCTGGTGTCCTACATGAAGTCACAGGGCATCCGCCCGCGCCCCCCGCCTGCGGCCCCAGAGCCCTCGCCCCCACAGTCCCCAGCCCACACGCCCCCGGCCTCCCCCCTGCACACACACATCTGAGTGCTCTTCCCAAGGCCCCCCCGACCTGGGGCAGGCGCTGGGGCCTGGGGAGGCCAGTGGCAGTACAGGCGGGGCCCCCAGACCCCCTCACACTATGCCATGCCTAGCCTTTGTAACGTGTGTGCCTGGGAGGCCGGCGGGGGACGGGGCCTCTGAAGACTCCTCTCTGCTTTCCTGGCCTCATGGCCCGTACCCAGGGAATTGGAGGGTGCAGGTGGTGGAGGAGGTGGTGAGGTTCCGGGCCCCTGCCTTTCTCGTTTCCCCTGGACACCTGGTTCTAGCCCAGCCAGGAAGGTGTTAACAGTCTGGAGGATTGGGGTCCTCCCCCCAGCCCAACTGGGCAATCTCATCTGTTCCTAGACAGCCCTGAAGCCTGAGCTGGGCCTCTCTCCTCCAGGGCTCTAGTCTCTCCCCTCCTCCTGTGGTGTCTACTCCTACACCTGGCCCCTGACCTCCCACCCCAGTATCTACCCCGTCCCTGTTTCCAGTGAACCCTGCGGGGCTGATGGGCTTGCAGGGACGCCTGAACGTGTGACCCCTCCCAGGGATACTTGCATGCCATGGGAGCCCTGCAGACTTGTGAAGAGGAGGCTGTGATGGTAGGGCACAGGCCGCATGATGGGTGAGGAATGGAGGCTTTATGGGCACAGAGTCCTTTCTGGAATGACGCTGGTTTTAGATACATAGATCCACAAGCGTCTCCTGGGTGTGGGCCCACAGGCACCTCTATAGTTGACTCCTGGCTCCAGGGATCCCCTCCTCCTGCCATGGCTGCCCAGGGCCCTCCGAGCCCCGTCGTCTGCTGCTGCCCTGGATGCCTTGGAAGGAGCAGTCCAGCCCCAGCACTCTCACACTGCCCCTATCTCCCACAGGGATCGGAGATAAGAGTCCTGGGTTCGAGCCCTGCATCTAGCCCCTGCCTGGGGGAGCCCAGGCAAGGCCCTTCTGCCTTCTAGGACTTAGAAGTAGGGCAAGAGGGTTGACCAGATAGTCCCAGGTTTACTTCCCGCTCTGGTGTCCCTAGGGTCCATTCATGCCACGCCCAGCTTCCCGCATCCCACTCCCCAGCAGTGTGACCCATCACCCCAGGCCGTCTTGGCCCTTAGGGTCACCCTGTTCCATCCTGTCACCTCAGATCCACCCTGGTCCTTCAGCCTTGGGCTCTGGTGTCTGAGCCGGAGCCCCTGCCCCTGCTGTGGGGAAGGTGAGAAGGGTGATGGCACCCCTGGGCCTGCAGAGCTGCCCAGCCCTTACCCCCACAGGGAGCAAGTCATGCATGCCAGCCCCTCCTGCAGCATGGGGCTCTTCAGCCCACTACACATCCCATGCCTGGGTGGAGACCAGGCCCCCACCCTGTCTGCTGCCCGACACCGCTTCCCTTCCTGTCATGCATGATGGTGGTGTTTCTACACTGTCTGGTCCTGTACCTGTCTCCGAGACAGTCTCTGTGTGGAATTTGCCTTAAACTGAAGTAAATTTGGTCCTTTTAGTAAAGTTCCTTGTTTTCCTTTCTGCTGTGAAAAATAGAAATATATTGCTGTTTGACAGGGTCCAGTTCTCCTCTCTCTCTCTCTCTCTCTCTCTCCCCCTCTCCCATTGTTTTGTACAATAAGGATTTCCTGAGCAACTACAATGTGCCAGGATCTGTGCTGGGCACTCAGGATGCAGCAATGAACAAAACGCAGGCCTGTCTCCACATGAAGCTTACAACAAACACAAATAAGACAGGGAAACACCCAGTAAGCATATAAACAAATAGGTAGATAACCTAATTTCAGGCGGTGATAAGTTACAAAGACAAAAAAAAAAAAGTTACAAAGACAACAGAGAATAAGGGACTGGAGATGGACAGGGTGATTTTTTTAAAATTTTTTTTTAAATTTACTTGACAGCATGCACAAGCAGGAGGAGGAGCAAAGGGAGAGGGAGAAGCAGGCTCTCCACTGAGCAGGGAGCCTTGTGCAGGGCTCAATCCCAGGACTCTGGGATCATGACCTGAGTTAAGGGCAGACACTTAACCAACTGAGCTCCACCAGGCACAAGATCAGGGAGGGCCTCTCCGAGGAAGTGAAAGTTGATATGAGCTCTAAGGAAATGGCAGAAGGAGGCACACTGGTATCCAAGGCAGGAGGGCTCCAAGTAGAAGGGAAAGACAAGTGCAAAGACCCTGAGGTAGGAGCATACTTCGTGTAAAGGACAGTAGGGAGGCTTATGTGGTTGGAACTGTGTTAATGGGGGGATAGTTCAGGAGATGAGAGTAGGGGGACACCTGGGTGGCTCAGCGGTTTAGCACCTGCCTTCGGCCCAGGGCATGATCCTGGAGTCCCAGGATCGAGTCCCACATCGGGCTCCCTGCATGGAGCCTGCTTCTGCCTCTGCCTGTGTCTCTGCCTCTCCTCTCTCTCTGTGTGTGTGTCTCGTGAATAAACAAATAAAATCCTTAAAAAAAAAAAAAAAAGGGAGATGAGAGTAGGGAGGTGTGAAGAATCCAGAATGCATGGGGCTTTGTAGGCCATGGTAAGGGCTTCAGCATTACTCTGAGTGAAACAGAGCCAGCTGGAGATGAAAGAGGTGAGTAACATGATCAGATTACTCTCGAAAACAAGTGGGTCACTTTATTGCATTTGATCACTCATTGACTCATCCCTCAACAAGTATTTACTGAGCACTTGCGCCAGGCCCTGCTCCGTTTGGAGACACTGATTCACGCACGGTTGCACCCTCAGAGGGTGACCCCTGCTCTGGAGCAGTGAGCAAGGAAATCTTTCAACCCTGGGCTACTGCTGCTAAGCCCATAGGAGGAGCCAGGGTCTCTGGGCACCAAAGGGGCGCTTCTGGCACAGCCTGGACGACTCACAGGCCATGTGCCCAGGGTAAGTTACTGCTCCTGTGTGGGATGGAACCACTGCAGGACTGTTGTGTGGACGAACTATGGGACCTATAGATAAGCCCACACGAGTTATGTGACATGCACAGGGGGCACTTGAGGAGCACGACAACACCATGTTTCTCCTCCTTGTCCCTCTCCATATATAAATCCCTGTGGCCGGCAGAGCCCAGGATCACAAGGAAAGGGGACTTCTCCCTCTAGGCCACCTTACTGTCAGATTAGCCCTCCAGCCAGCCAGTCCCAATCTGCACATCACAAGAAATCTGAGACTAATTATACCAAAGTTTGAGACTTATTTACTTCTTATTATTTTATAGTAAATTAGAGCTGATTCATGGCTGTCCCTATAATTAGATACCCCTCTGACTCGCATTCCGATACGCTTTGAGTGAGAACCGGGTGGGGTCATAGCTTGGGAAGAGGGAAATTCCCATAACCAGTGACCCATTTTGCCTCTCCCTGGGCGCCTTGGGGAATGTGTCGAGGGGAGATGCCCACCTGGCAGGGGAATCAAGTCTCCAGAGCTTCTGCCTCAGGGGGCTGGGTGCATCTTCACTGTGCTTAACACTAGTTTCTCTCCTGGGTTATTTCTGAAGGTGTGTTCCACAGAACACTGGTTCTCTAGTGTGGATTTTGGGGAACTGCCTACTCCGAGCTCCTCTCAGAAAAATCCCAGGGGTCTTTGGTGTATTCAAGGCTCTGATAAGTCCTGCAGCAGAGACCAATTTAATTTTGTTCAACACAGTGTTTCCAAAACTTTTTGACCATGGAGACGTGTGTGTGTGTGTGTGTGTGTGTGTGTGTGTGTGTGTGTGTAGCTGTAACACTGTTACCAAGCAGAACAGGTTATCTTGGGACTTAAGACAATCTCCTGGGCTCCCCAGCTAACACAGAAGTCTGAGGCCTGCTCCCAGGAGGCCAGGGGGAGGGCTTGGAGTTTGGGAGCTTCTCAGAGAAGATGGAGTAGGAGAGGTGGAGACCTTCAGTTTCTCTGGAAAGAAGGAAGGGGCCCGCCACATTGAGAAGAGAAACCACAGAGAAAAAAGGAGGGCATTCAGAAAGTCACAGCTCCAAGGGTGGCTTTGTGTTCCCTTCTTGGGCAGAGAGGTGTTGTGACTGAGCTAGGGGAGGGCAGGCAAAGAAGGGAGAGGTTCCTGAAAGACTCTCCTGGCCTCTGGGCCTCCACGCTGGCTGCCGTTGTCTCCTTCCCTCTACACCCCCCACTCACTCCCCAGGCCTTCAGGACTAAAGACCCCAGGCTGTCATTCTCCAGATTGTTCCTCTACCCACTTCTCTGCCTTTGGAAGTCCCTTTACTGACCTCACGTCCACTCACCTGAAATGCCCCTGAATTAATAAAAATAAAATGATGGTAATAGTAATAATAATGACCAACACTCATATGCACTTAGGCAGCACCAGGCATTCCTCTAAGCATGTTATATGTGTTACATGTGTTGAGTTTCTCTTTACAACAACCCCATGAACATGGTATAATCATTACCCATTTTCTAAATGAGAGAACAGAGAGAGAGGGTAAGAGACTTTTTCAAGGCCATATAACAAGAAAATGGTAAAGCCTATAGTATCTGAGTCCCAAAGTGGAATGGGAACATCAACCTAGTGTCACCTTTGCTGGGCCACCTACCTGCTCTGGATCTCAGTCTCCCTACTGGAGAAATGGAGGGGACATGCTCTAATGTCACTAAAGGGCTTCCCACTTCTCTTGACTCTCAGCCCTGTCTCCCATCAGCCTATCTTCTCAGACCCCAGCCAGACCCCATAGGCCTCCTGGGGCCCTGTCCCGGATGCTCTCCAGCAGCACACTGGCCCCGCCCACACGCCCTGGGTGCCTGGCTGCCCTTGGCCTGCGGAAGAGATCCCTGAGCCCCGCCTGGAAGGGGCGGGACAGGTAGAAGCAGAGGACGGGGCTGACGGCACAATTGGAGTAGGCCAGGATGGTGCAGAGGCTGGATGCCACGAAAGCCACTGGCGTGGCAGGCAGGCCACCCACAGCTGCCACATAGCCCAGCACGGAGCAGGGCCCCCACATCAGCACGAAGACCACCAGCACCACAAGGATGAACCCTGTGTTCTCCTGGTGCTCCGGGATGCTCTCCCCAATGGGGCCACGAGGCTGTGTCCACAGGAGCCAGCCCACGTGGCTGAAAGAGCAGCCGAGCCCCAACATACAAGGCAGGAAGGCCAGGGCTCCCAGCAGGGTGAAGTAGCAGGAGGTCTGGGCCGGGCTCAGGAGCAAGAGGCAGGCCCGGGCCCCTGCGGCCCCCTCCTCCACAACCACCCTTTGGAACAGCCAGTTGGGCAATGACACAGTGAGGCCCAGGACCCACATGGCCCCACAGAGCAGCAGGCGGGCGCCCCGGCCAGAGGGGAGGGCCACATCAGGCCGGGCCACGGCCACATGGCGCAGCAAAGCCGTGGCCACCATGCTGTAGAAGGTACAGAACATGGTGGCATTGTTGGTGGCCTGGCTGGTGGTGCAGACGACAGGGCCCAGCCACCAGTCGGGCCGCAGGAAGCTCAGCAGCAGCACGGGCACCACGCAGGCCAGGAAGAGCAGGTCAGACAGCGTGATGTTCACCATGAGGCTGTTGGTCAGGACGAGGAGCGGCCGGGAGGCGCCCGGGCCCCGGCCCACCACCAGCAGCATGAGCCCGTTGGCCAGCAGCCCCACCAGCAGGACGAGGCCACAGGCCCCGGCGAGGACGAGTCGCAACAGTGGCTCAGGTGTGGCCGCGAGCCCCGCGGCGGACGTGGCATTGGGCTCCAGCCCGGGCTGCATCCTCCTGCCCCAGACACACAAGGACACGTGTCCAAACCAGCTTCCTTTTTCCCCGTAGAGCCCCCCACCTTTCTCAGCCCCCCGCATCCAGGGTGCCCCTTGGCGGGCGGTAATCACTTGAGACCGTACAACAGCTTGGCGGGACAAGCCGGGTCAGCACCCCGGGTTCGAATCCTGACTCTGCTACTTTGTAGCTCCGTGACTTTGGGAAAATTACCCAGGTTCCCTACCTCAGTTTCCTCAGCTTTGAAAACGGAAGGAAATACAATAAAAATAGATGTCATCAGTAACTGCTACGAAAGGGTGAGGTTCAGGTCATTTTCATTTTCCTCTTTATAATTTCTTTATTTCTACGATTTCTGCAGGGAGTGCTTGGGGGCGGTGTGTACACACCACATGCACTTTTTAGATTTTACTTATTTATTTATTTGGAGGGTTGAGGGAGGGGCAGAAGGGGAGGGAGAGAAGCAGACTCCCTGCTGAGTGCAGAGCCCAATGCAGGCTTGATCTCATGGTCCCGAGATCAAGATCTGAGCCGAAATCCAGAGCTGGATGCTCAACTGACTGAGCTACCCAGGCACCTATATATATATATATATATATAGTATATATATATATTTATATTTATATATTTATATTTTTTAAATATATTTTTTAACAAAACCTTGCCTGCCTATGAAACAGGCAGATATTAATTTGAGGTTCAAGTAAGGAAGTGGATATGCAGGGGCTTTGAGAAGGCATGAAGCCCCTGCCACGGGTTCCCAAGTTTTTCTGCACAGTGGGATCACCTGGGGAGTTGCAAAAATATTAATCCATGGGTCCCATCCCAGGGATGGGATTTAGTTGGGCTGGGCTTTGGTGTTTTTTGAAAGATCCCAGAGGACCCTGCAGGGCACACCAACTTGGAAATGACTGCCGTCTATGGCTGTGTGCTGGTTACCTGGCAGGGTCGGGGGCAGCGCTGCACCCCAGCTTCCTCCTCACCCCCATATCATCCTACATGCTGAAGACATGGGGAGTCCCCGATTGCTAGGAGTCAGGCTGGGAAATGGGGTCTAGACATCCCAGAGTTAGCTCAGGGGCCAGTGTCTCCACCTGCCACCCTACAGACCAGACCAGCATCCTTAGCTTTCTTGGGGAGAGACTTGCCCATTAACTCAATAAATAAATGTTTCCTGAGTATTTACCCTGAGCGAGCAGCAAACACAACAGCCTGTGGGGTCCTAATTCTAGTCATTCTCTCAGCATCTGTAAGTCTTTTTTTTCCCCTTCTACCTGGCCCAGGCCTGCCTGCAGATGACATGAGTGGAGGGGAGGGGAAGAAAAGAAAGGGTCCAGGGATCTGGGCCCTGTTTCATCTAAGCGTCCATACCCTCCTCTAACTACCATGATTTTGTGGTGAAGCTTGTGGCTGCCGGAGCCTGGGTTCAAAATTCCTCTGCACCACTTGCTAGCTGTGTTGACTGTGGACCAGCTACTCTGTGCCTCATTTTCCTCATCTGTAAAGTGGGGATAATCACAAGCCCCATTTCACAGGGCAGATGTGGGGATTAAATGGGGCAGTACAAGTCAAGTGCTGGAATAGTGCCTGGCACGAAGTAGGTACTTTGTACACCGTGGCTGTCTTGCTCCTGCCCACCCCCAGTTCTGAACAGCTCTCTTCCCGAACATCTCTGTCCAGGCTCCATTGTCTCCCCCTGCCCTCCCCTTCTCTCCTGCATCCTGAGTCCCATCAGCCCAGTCCTGCCTCTTCTTAATCAGTCTAAGGTGTGACCAGAGCCCCCTTAGCAGACATGCCCTGAGAACTCACCACTTGCCTGCAAGTTCACTCTGAAATCTACCTTGAGTCCCTCTTGCTGCTCTCCACATGGGCCTTGTGCTGCTCTGAGGTTCCTGGGCTCTGCTTGCTGACTTGGAGCCCTCTGACACCAGGAAATGCTCCTCCGCAGCTAGATCTTGCCAGAGAAAGCCAAGAGATAGTCCTGGGCAGGTGTGCGGTCCTTTCTAGCATCCCACCTCTAGGGACCCTGAGCTGGCCGCCTGCAGCTGGGGGAGAGCTGAGATGGGAGGGGCAGGCCCCAAGGCCACTTCTATACCGGTCCCCCAAAGGACAGGGCCTCTATCTGCTCTGCTGGCTCCCCCAGGAATCACACCCTGCTTACCTGCCTCATTAACTGGCTGGCCTACAGGACAGAGTTGTCCATGCCTGCCGGGTCCCCAGGTCCCGGAGAGAGCCATTAGCAACAGTAGGACCTGCCCCCCCACCCTCACCCGTGGCCACCTCTCCTTGTCTGTCTTTCCTGGAACCTACTATAGCCTAATAACTGTTCAGAGCAGGAAGAGGCTTGTGAGTTGAGAAAGAGGATGGCAGCAGGGAGAAGACATTGGAAGTAAGAATCAATGAGAACTGGCTGTATCACAAAATCATCCTGCATAATATCCAGAGGCTGGATGAGGTCCATTAGGGCAGCTGAGGCAAACTTTGGTGGCTTCTGATGCCTGAATCTTTTCCACCTTGCCTCTTGTCAAGTGTCACCCGACATGCACTTATATGCCTCGAACGACAAACAGCTCACTGCTGCAGAGGCATCCCAGGCATCCCTTCCGGAACTGAGCAGAGGGACAGAGCCAAGATTGGAGACTGATTAAGCCTGTAGGAAGGCTCTGTCTTCTACCTCCGCCCTCTCTGGTTCACCAGTACTGAACGATTACAAAGTAATCATTACAAGCTCAGCGTCCCGCACACACTGGATTGCGGGATGTGGCGAGCATCATTGTGATGTACGATGACAAGGACAGCAGTTGCAGCAAACTGACATGACAGATTGTCCAACACTGAGGGGTCAACTCCCCAAGACTTTCCAAGCAGGCTCCTCAACGGCACTGAGGACCCCGGCCCGGTTTATAATCTGCAGCCACTTTGGAACTTCAACAAAAGCTCCAAAGAGGAGCCTCTGAGTGATCTGAATCCAGCTTCTCTGCTGCTCCCCAGACCCCGCCAGCCCCACCTCAGGGCAGAAGGCTGCACCAGGGGACGCTGTGGCATTGGAGCAAGGGGTGGGATCCCCGAATATGACCCCTGCAAGACAGGTCTTGGGGAAACGGAATGGGGTTGGGGCTCAGGGACACACGGGGAGTAGGGCCTGCCAGGGAGCATCAGAACATTGCTCTTCTCCGGGAATCGGATTCTGCTCAGAAGAAACTTGATGCTTGCACACAGATGGAGAGTGAGACAAGGTTCACCGGTTTTGGCAGGCATGCAACAGTGGGACTGCTTTAATAAAGAGTATTTTGTAATTAACAGGTTGTATCAATTAGTCATCAGCCCCCAAAGCAAGCTCCTCGGAAAGTTTCTTTCCCTCCTCTCCGCATTTATTTTTATTTTTGACTATATAAAGAATACCCAAGCTTTGCCAAAGATAGAGAAATACAAATACTTATAAAAAAGGAAATGACTCCCCCACATATTCACCCTATAATTTTACCACACAGAGATATGTGGCCAATGATATGGTATGCTTTCCTTAATTCATTTTTCTAGACTTTTCCTTTCTTTAGAGGGTTTTCACCATGAACCACCAACCCCCACCCCCATCAAATCCTTCTTCAGAGTGCAAGGGCAGCAGTGTCCATGCAGCCCCTGCCCTGGGATCCAAGTCTTGACCTGAGGGAGATCTTCCTGAACTTTCAAGCTGGCCATCTGTGTCACTGCTGCATTTGGGCAGGTGGGACAGGAGCTGAGGAACAGGAAGCCCAAGGGGTGGCCGTCCTACCCTGGCTGGGCCAGATGGTCAGAAGCAACAGCCAGCTCTCTTCTGTGACCTCTTAGGGGCCACCTCCACCAGCGAGTCCTTCAGGCGGTCCTCCTGCATCTTGAGTGACCTGTATGACAACAGGAGACTTCAGCCCTCTGTCTCACCTTCGGGGGGCAGCAGGGAGGGGCCTGTGGGTGCCTCTGTGGGGCTGGGGGATTGTGCCCCCCGAAGCTCCCTCTCTCCCATCTGCTCTGCCCTGCACTGCATTCCACGTGGCATCAGGAAAATGGGGCCACGGAGACTCTGGCCTTCTGTGGCCTTCCTAGCTTTCTTTCCAGCCTACTGTGTGCCTCTCCACTGTGCAAGGGACACTGAACGAGACCGCGAAGCCAGCACGTCCTCACCTTGAGAAGTGAGGAGACGGACAGGAGAAGAGGCCGTCAGAACCAGGAATGGGGAAGGACATGGAGGGACCGCACGCCGGGTCCCCGAAGGGTTTAGGGAGGAAGGAGGCAGTGTCAGAGCTGAGGCAGTGTCAGAGCTGAGGCTGAGCAGAGGACAAGGGACCCTAGCAGAAAAAGGGGGGTTTGTTTCCGGCTGAGGGCAAAGGCTCAGTGTCAAGAGAGAGCTTAGGGAAATCAAAGAAGTTCATTCATTCATTCATTCATTCACTCACGATATATTTACTGTGTGCGGACCACTGCGCTGAATGATGCGAAGCCCGAAGACCGAATTGGGCAGAAAGGAGCCTTAGAGGCAATAGGGGTTCAGAGCCCTGGGGGCCTGGAAGCCACATTCAGGAACTCGGGCTTTTGAAGGAGGGAAGCTGAGGGAAGCTGTTGAGCAGGTGTCTATCCCACAGCATCACCTGATCCTCTGTGGGGCTGGGGGATTGCGCCCCCCGAAGCCCCCTCTCTCCCATCTGCTCTGCCCTGCACTGCATTCCACGTGGCACCTGGGCTACTTTGTCAGATAAGGGGCTTCCAGATGATCGGGCCGGGGACCCCTTCCGCCTTACTCATTCCCTTCATTTTGGGGGCACCTAGTAGGTGCCAGGCCCTGGGTGTAGAGGGAGGGGGGCTGGACCCAACAGACATGGCCCCACCTTCCTGGAGCTACCGCCTAGGGCAGGAGGCTCACAGCAACCAGGGAACAGAGAAACAGACAAATGCCTGTGTCCTTACAATATGTCGAGAAGGGCTTTGAAGGACACAAATAGGGGACAGGGATCCAGAATAGTGGTGGGACAGAGAGTGGTCAGGGAGGGCTCCTCTGAGTGGCGAGGCTGAGTGAGTAAATGTGCATGTGTGTGCTTGCACGTGTGCACACGGGGACGGGGGAGGCAGCCCCAGAGACGACAAAGGCCGTTTGGAGGCATTTGGATTTTATTCTAAATCTAGCGGAAGTTGGAGCACCTGGCTGGCTCAGTAGGAAGCACATGCAACTCGCGAACTCAGGGGTCATGAGTGTGAGCCCCACATTGGGTGTAGAGATTACTTAAGTAAACAAATAAAAATAAAAACTGTCAAAAATAATAAGTCAATCTGGTGGAAGTTACTGGAAGGTTGAGAGCAGGAAGGTGACCCTCTCAGGCCCACTGCACTGGGTAAGCGAGAAAGCAAGCTAAAGCTCAGAAAGGGTGCAGGAGACTTTGAGAAGGTGAGCAGAGCAACGGAACTAGTAGAGCTGGACTCAGACTCTCCGCAGAGTGCTCTCTCCCCTTCCCCAGAGGGTGAGCTTTACAGTTTCATGATGCTTCCTCAGAGTGGGCCTTCCCTTCCCACAGGCGGGATCTGGAGGCTGCCCAGGGGACTCAGGGGGTGAGCATCGGGGTGGCACTCACCGAGCCAGATTCACCACGGGCTCCAGGATGTTGTGACCTAGGGCAGCACTGCACTCTCCAAAGGAGACTCCCAGCTCCTGCAGACAGACAGGGGCATGGGGGCCCCGGGAGAGCCCACTGAGCATCCTGGCAGAAGTGCCCATGGCCTGGCCATCAAAGAATCCCACCCAGGGTGTCCCTAGGCCACCCTCGATGGGTGAGGCAGCCTGGCCCCCCGCCCTCAGCCCCTTGCCCCCTGCACCTCCACCCTGGCTGGCCACCGCATCAAAGATGCCACCCCAGAGACATTCCACAGCCCACACCCTGAGTGACGGTGGAAAGCCTGTGTCCCAAATTGGAGAAATGTCCTTGGGGACATTTTAAACTATTAGTTATGTGGTTTTTTTAAAAAAAAAATTTTATTTATTTATTCATGAGAGACACACAGAGAGAGAGGCAGAGACACAGGCAGATGGAGAAGCAGGCTCCTTGTAGGGAGCTGGATGTGGGACTCGATCCCAGGACCCCGGGATCATGGCCTGAGCCGAAGGCAGGTGCTCAGCCACTGAGCCCTCTAGTTATGTTTTTTGATTTCAAAAATATTCAGCTGAGCGCAGGGAACTATTGGAAAATACAGCCTTCAAAAAGTGCAAAAGCAAAATATAAACCACTCGTGTTAGGTAGTGTTTGATGTATATTTCTATTCCGTTTTATATGACCCCCCTGGGGGTGAGTGGGCTAAATGCCATCGTGCTGGTGGAGTCAATCCTATGAACCGGCTGCTCAGGCAGGACCCAGTCGAATGTCAGCAACCTCCCAGGGTTCAACTCAACCTAAGCTGGGACTTGCAGCTGCTCTTCTGACTTCACATTACATTGTAGGCACTTCCTCCACGCCCTCAAATATTTTTCTGGGACAGGATTCTTAATGACAAATGGTGGCCTCTCACATGAACCTCCACAACTTAACCACCAACTGCTGCCAAATGTTTGTTCTTATAAATAATACTGTAAAGAACATCCTCATATAAACACGCTTGATTATACATTATATGTGGGTATCCATTATGCTATTCTCGTAGGGATTATTATTTCTGATTCTTTCCTTAGGATAAATTGCTAGAGGAGGAATTACTATGTCAAAGAGATGAGCCACTACATTTAAGGGGGGCGATTCCTGCGCCAACCAGGAGCCATGGTGATGAGCTCATGATTCTGAGAAAGGAGGGGAGAAGGGGAAAGAAATACAATATGGAAATGCCAAGGGGGGTTGTGGCGGGGGGCGGGCAGGGGCTGGGAGCTTTTTCCCTTCTTTATTATTCTCTAGAGTTTCTGGAATGTGGTCAACTTCTGTTCATAAATAAATAGTATCCACTGTCTGGTGGTGGGACTTTTGATGCAATCTTGCCAGGGAAGAATTGGAGTCTTAAGATAGAATAAATTAGAAGGAATGTTATGTTAATTAGAGACCAGAGGGAAAATTAAGATTTGATTGGGAATTTTAAGTGAAGCTCTTAAAACTTTTTTTTTTTTTTTTTACTCTGAAGATATTTTTATATAGGTCAGAATGTTGTGTGGGCATCTGCTAAGTCCATCTGAGAGCCAAAGTCAGACCCGCTGTTACGGTTGCATGTTTCAGTCTAAGAACAGGGTGGGTGGGAGGCAGAGGAGACCGGGCTGCTGTCCACTCTGACCCGGGCTTGTGCAGGGCAGGGGTAGGGGCAGGGATGGGCAATGGGTCCTTCTCAGTGGCCCAGGCCAGGGTGACCTCTTCATGTCCCTCCAGGGAGGGTTCTGTCCAGGCCAGGCTGGGTGGGGGACTGATGGCCAGGTGCTCACCTGGGCCAGTTGCTGGCCGGCCTCTGTGGGCACCTGCCGCTCCTCCTCACGGTCCGTCTTGTTTCCCAGAAGAAGGATGGTCACCCCATTGGGCCCTGATTCCTGCACATAGAATACATTCCCTTAGCCACACATGTTGGGTTTCTGCTGTGGTGTGCCAGGTCCTGGGAGGATTTGGCCCTGCCCTCCAGGAAGCTGACAGTGTGCACACCCAACCCTGCCCCCGGCCCCTGCCCCGGCCTTTCCCTGTAACACTCACTCCACACCTTTCCCCCACCCACGACATCTTCCCTTCAGTCTAGAGTGAACATGCCCCTTCTTGCTGCCTGCAAACATTCACCCATTTCCCAAGACCAGCCCCCAAGGTACCTCCCCCAGGAAGCCTTCCAGGATTGTTCCTGCCCACGACCCTCTCTTCTTGCCTGTGCCAAACAGCCCAGCACTTGATTACATGGGCTGGCTTGGCTCGCTTCCTGATTGTTTCATGAGTACTACTACCACTAGCTTCTGCTTCCTGAGCACTTACAATATACCCGGTGTTGTTCTAACGGCAACTGTACCTATTAATCCTAACAACTGTATGAGAAAAGTGGGAAGATGGAAGTTCAGAGAAGTTATTTGTCTGAGATGATAGAGTCGGGGCAGGGTATCTGGGATTCAAACCGAGGTCCTGTCAGACCCAGAGCCCGGCCACCTCCATATAGTACCTTATCCTACTTCTTTTGCTGGACTAGACCTTATCCTACTTCTCTTCAGCTGGACTAGAAACTTCCAGAGAGAAGACACATGTCTTTCATCATACCCCTCTGCTGTGCTAGTACATACTGCAGAATTTCAGTATATATGGAACAATTATGTACATGGGGGAGAGAACCAGACGTGTGGACAGAGGAATTATCTCCTAGAGTAGTACCAGCCTTGCATTATCCCCAGGTGTTAAGAAGACATTGCAGAGCTGCTATATATAGGAAAGGAACGTTCATGGGATAAAGGAAGTAGTTTGTTTTGGAGGCTGTACTACGTGGTTGTGGTTTCTTCATATGACTATGCTCCCAGCTCACTCATCCAGCCCCATGTCCTCAGTGGGTCACATCACCCACATGTCCGTGGTATCATTCGTAATCCTGGGAGAAAAGAGGGCGTGGGCAGGGTACAAGTTCCCTCTTGACTCCCAAAGCTGGGGCCAAGCCCAACAGCCATCTGCAGGTGGCTAAGATGGCTGCTTACCTGGAGACAGTTCAGCCAGTAGCGCACGTGGGCGAAGCTCTCCTGGGAGGTGATGTCGTACATGAGGACCACGCCGTCGGCCTTGCGGAGCAGCTGCCGAGTCATGCTGTGGTACCTGCCCAGACAGTCTGCATGAGGCCAGGCCTGGTGGGCCGCCCCGTCACCCTGGCCTCTCTGGGCCTTAGCTACTTCAGCTGCAAGGTGGGAGAATGAACCTTTCCTGCTCCTAACTGCTTCCCAACGACAGTGAGCATACGTTTTCCTTCTTGCAGTGTAGTGATTGTTGAAAAGGTAGCAGTTCTCATGGTTCAAATTTCAAAAGGTACGGAAGGGTGCCCAGGGAAAAGTCTGTCCCCACGTCCCCTGGCCCCCACCACTCAGTCTCCCTCCCCAGAGGCAGCCAGGGTCACCGGTTTCCTGAGGTATTTTATGAATATATACAAATGTATGTATGCGTACATGCACGCCGTGTACATACGCACCTTCACATACGTACACCTCTCTTCCCTGTTAAACACAAATAGGGGGCAAAACACTCATCTGCTTTGCTTTTTCCAGTTAATATAACATCTTGCAGGTGTTTCCCCCCTGGCACACAGAGTCCTCAGTCTTTTTTTTTTTTTTTTTTGGTGGCTTCATAATATTCTATGGACTCTGTAGCCAGACCCTGACTTATTCTCTGGCCCACCAGTCCTCATGTTTAGCCTGTTCCTGGTGCTCCCAGCACAGACGATGTTGCGATGGACATGCTGGTATTACAGTCATGTGTGAGTTCACCAGCACAATGAATTTCTGGAAGCGGAACTGCTGGGTTAAGGGTGTGCCTTTTGCACGTTGATCACTCCTGCCTCACTGGAAAGTGGCAGGCCAGCATTTTCAGAAGGCCTGGAGATCGGCCAAGCTGTCCCCCGAGGGCCACGTTGGAATGGCCTTCACAGCTGTCCTGCGAGGCCAAGGGCGGGGGGCAGGGAGCTCTGGGTCTGCTGCCCCCTCTGTGAGCCCACAGAAGCTTGACTCATCTCTGCTTCCCCAACCTCCTAAATGCTTAGGAGCTGGATGGCTTTTTTACACTTGATCACCTATTGCCTGAGTTGGAGTTGTCAAGGTCAGGCTGCCCTCCACCCCTCTTCACCTTGGGCTCAGCACAGGGCCCCGACGCCACTAACGGAGACAGGGCCCCTTACCTCTCCTGACCAGCTGTGTCCCAAAGCTGCAGGACGAAGTACTTGTTGTCCACCAGCAGAGTTTTGACCCGAAAATCCACTCCTAGGACACACAAAGGGGTATTGGGCCTGCTGCCAAGTTACCATCCGGGGCTTCCAGCCCAAACCTGCCCCAGGATACACCTGTCCCCAACACCAGCTCCTCTGGCTGCTGAGCTTCCCCTCAGCTCTCCAAATCCCATCCATACTCAAGAGCCTGAATCCTCCAAGAAGCCCTTCCTGACTGCCTCGCCCACTGCACTCCCACACCCGGATGGTCGGTGCCAATTTGAGGCACCTTGCATTGTCTTGGCTTCTATGAACATATCTGTCTTCCCGACCGTACAGCAACATTTATTCTTCAGGTCCCTCAGGAAAATCAGTTTCACTGTTTTATTTTTATAATACTCTCCGTTTCATTCCTAAGTATAGCATGGATCTTCCCCCTACAACCACACGGTGGGGTAGAAACAGGCAGCCTCAGGGAAGAAGGAGCACTGGTTTCAGGGATGACCGATTGGGCTGTGAGCTGCCCATCCTCTGCTGCTCTATTGGCTGCGTGACCTCAGGTAAGTCACTTTACCTCTTTGAGCCTCCCTTCCCTCTTTGCCAGGTAACAATTAAAAAAGACCCACATTGGGGTACCTGGCTGGCTCAATCAGTTGAGCACGTGACTCTTGACCTCAGAGCCATGAGTTCAAGTCCTACCTTGGGTGTAGAGCTTATTTTAAAATAAATAAAATAAATTTAAAAACTACCTGTAAAAAAGAAAATCACAATAATAAAGAAAATAAAAGCTCCACATTGCAGAATGATTGGGAAGATTGAATGATCACGTTTGAGGTTTGGCCCAGGGGTGCTTGGGAGGTGATCATTTTCAGTCTTATTCTCATCTCTCTGAGCCACAGCCCCACCCCTCGCTGTGGTCATGCTTCTGGACCCTTCCTGTCTCTGCAAATATAAAGGGATTAGTGAAATCCCAAGAAGGTTTAGAAACTTTTGGGGTACACCTTCCAGCCGACCCCCAAGGAATTCAGGCAGAGTAGGGAGTGATGGAGAGGGACTTCTTTCCCATCCCCACTCCTTTTCCTAAGGGAGCCTGAAGCTATAGAGCCCACTGCAGGCCCTGTGCCAGCTCTGGAAAGGGGTGCCTCCTCATACCAGCCCTGAGCTGGTGGAGACTTCTCTCAAAGTCTCTGCAGCTGTCCCTGGTGGGGGCTGAAACCTTGTTCCCCCGCCCATGCTCTCTGCAGGAAGTGGCAGCCTGGGGAACCTGACTCAGCAAAATGGCAAAGCAGAAGTCTGTAGCATCTGCTTCTCTTTACTGCTCTTTTACCTTAGGAATCCTTGTCCTAGGAAGCCCACGGTCTGCAGGAACCTCTGAGATTATCTAACCCAACCCCTGGTGATGATATCCAGCCTGGCTTAAATGCCCACCATGTAATCTATGAACGTCTCTAACAAGTATTCCTTGCATTTCCTAACTCCACCATTACTCCCACCAACCTGCCCATCCCCTCCTCAATCCACCCATGTGGCTCCCATATGTCCCCAAAACGTGTTATAACTTAACCACATAAATCGCTAAGAATATAACAGTTATCTCCTTCCCAAGGAATCTGCTATTTTACATGAGCGGCCCCAGGGGCAGAGTCATGCTGAACCCAGAACACAGCAGAATTTCTAGGGTGGGGCATGTGCTCTGAAAGCAGGAGACCATGGGTATGAACTTTGGGCCCCAGCGAGGGCAGGAAATGTGACCAGGTCTTCTATGATCTGTTTCCCTCATCTGTAAAATGGGGATATGGAAAAGCCTGGCAAAAATCCACATTCAGATATAACTCGATTGGCTCTGGCTCTGGTGCTCCACCCAGCCCTGTTCTCAAATGCCAGCAGGCTAGAGTTCTCATCTTCTGAGAGAAGGGGAGGAAACAGAGGAGGTGACGCTGGGTGTGGAAATGTTCATGACCGAGGAAGCCAGAATTGTCCCCATTGATGGTGAAGCCAGATGGATGACAGCCACCAGGAGGCACCAAACTGCAGCTGGCACTGGGACGGGCACAGGTCACTCCCCTGGATCTCGGGTACTCCCAGCCAGCTAGCAGTGCGTGCAGGCTTGCCCTGTCTTTTTACAATTATGCAACCTGTGTTTTTCTTGATTGAATTTTGTGGAACCTTCTTATCACATAATAATGGGGGCAGATCAGTTATATAGGGAGGGCTTTTGTAAAGGAAGGAGGCATGGAAGATGCTTGGCGCATTGTAGGTGGTCAGTAACCAGGACCTCAGATGATTCAGAACAGTGGGCTCGCAGACCCTGTGACCCTCCCCAACAGCAGGCCAGGCCTGCTGCAAGTTCTCTAGTCCCCAAGACACTGAATTTTTAACTGGTTCCCCCAGGTGAGGATTCTTAAAGAAAAATTTGAGAACCCATCTTGAAGCCTCTTTTGCATGAAGTCTGTCATCTACCCATTGGTCTGGTGCTGGTCCCCAGTCAGCATGCACTTTGCCTGGCACAAACACATGGGTCCCCCCATCTCTGTGCCTAAGCGGGTGTCCTCTTCATTCTTGAGCTCGCATTTCCGTGGCTCTGTACAATGCCAAGCGATCACAGATCCCAACATTTGTAGGTAGAGGAGTCTTTGTGTTTGGGGATATTTCATTTGCAGGGGCCACTGCATTAGACATGATCAAATATTTGCTTATGATAATAGTAATAAAAATAATATTGAGCACTTACCACATGCCAGATATTTTTTTTTTTACCACATGCCAGATATTATTCTAAGACATGTACAAACTGAACTCATCCTTACACCTATTCTAGGGAGCCAGTACACTTGTCTGCATTATGCAGTCTGCATGATGCAGATGAGGGTTTGAGAGTTCAGAGGGGTTAAATAATTTCTCCTACTCCTTACTGCTAGTGGGTGGCAGAGATGGGATTTGAACTCAGGTATCTTGAGTTCCTAACTGACCATACTCTAGAAACACATTCTGTGTAAAGTACTCAACTTGCCCTGGGCAACTCTCTGCCAGAGCTTGGCCCACTGGCCTGGGGCCAATTGTGAGCAAAGGCAAGCGGCACCCACCCTACAGTGGCCTGCCCCCAGGGCCACGTGGGTGGAGACTTGCTTGTTTTCACTGGCAACCAGCTCTGGCCCCTAAATTGCATGGTGCTTTGTTGGTGTGGCACATTATAAGCTAATCAGATCAATGCAGCAAAGCAAATTACCTATAATTAGAGATAATTAGTAAAATAGTAAGATTGTGCCCATATAAAATAAAGTCTAATGCAGGGCCTGTGGCCAGGACAGAACCTGCAGCTTCCCAGGGAGATGGATCTGTCTGGCTTGCCTCCAGCTCATTGGCCCTGGGTCTCCCCAGGCATCCCCTCCCTCTGCAGCCTCCATCCCCAGGTCAGCCCTTACCCACAGTAGCTGTCAGCCCGGTGGCAAAGGAATTCTGGTGCAGCAGGTGTAGGAAGGATGTTTTGCCCACGTTGGAGTCTCCCAGGAAGATGACATGGAAGAGGTAATCGGGGTCGGCTAGAGGCTCGCTGGCCGCGGGGGACTCCGGGGACCTGTTCAGCGCAGCCTCCCCGGGCTCACTTCCTGGGTCTTCTTCGGGCCTGTTCTCTGCCATTGGCTCCCTGGATCGAAGGGAGCCTTGTTCTTCTGTATGAGCAGTTGGAGGTGAGGGCATGGGCTGAGCTTCTAGCTCCACTGTGGTGGGGGGGCTGTGCCGGTGCTCCTGGGGCTCTGCTCCGTCCCCAGGCTGAGCCCCCTCCAGGGGAGACTCCAGGGGAGGTGACCCCGTTCTAGGAGGAGGGGCTTCTGAATGCCCAGTTTTCAGGCCGTGAGCCCCAGCTGACTGCTCTGAACTGAGGTCTTGTCCTCCTCGGCCTACCTGGTTCCTTCCCTCCACCCTGGGCTCTTCCAGACGCTCAAGGGAGAGGCCAGACAGCCCATCTGGCCCAAACACCTGGCCCTGAGCTTCTGTTGGCCCCCCGGGCTGGCTTCCCTGCACACCAGGGCTGCACCAGGCCGGCTCCAGCCCCTCTGAGGGAGCCTGACCCACAGGCCCGGGATCCTGGGAGGGCCCAGCCAGCCCTGGTATAAGGACTTCAGCTCCCGGGGACCCCAGTCCTGGCTCAGAGCCAGGATCCTGCCGGTCCCAATGGAGGGCCTCTGTCTGCCTGGGCGGCTTGTCTGGGACAGGCCCGGGCCCCGGGCTCTTGTCACCTGGGTATGAGGCCTGCAGCTGTTCACTGGGCCCAGCTGGGGCCTGGGGAGGGGGAGAGGTCACCAGAGGAGGAGGTGCATCCTCCAAAGGAATGAGCACTTTGAGTGCAGCTGCCACCAGACTCCCTGACTCCCCAGTGGTGGCCCCTTGGAAACTCCAGAGGGAGAGGGCCTCAGGGCCAGACCCTGACTCCTCCTGAGGTTCCAGGCTGCGAGACTGGACAGGCTGCTCTGGACTGTCATCCTGCCCATCTGCGCCCACTCCTTTCACTTCCTTGGCTCCAGAGGGTGCCCCAGCGGGGCCCCTTGGAGCCCCTTCCAGATCTGAAGGTGGCTCCTGACCAAATGGCAAAGCACGTGGCTCTGAGATGGAGATCTGCCTGACAGCTCGGGGTGTCTGGGGGCCCAAGGGGGTCCTCGGGGTGGGAGGTGGGCTCCAGGAGAGCTGCAGAGCTCTGCGCGAGGAGGTGTTGAAGCTGCTCAGGAGCTGGTCCCAGTCATCCTCCTCCCCAAACAGTCCGGGCAGGGGAGCCTCCTCAGAGGGGACTGCCTGGGCATCTGGAGCCTTCTCCTCACCTGCTCGGGGGACACTAGGAAGGGTTTAGGAAGCTAAGGTCAGGGGAATCTCTCCCCATCGGTAACACCTCACAGCTGACCCCAACCCCCAGTCTCTCCTCAGGTGGTCCTCACCCTGCATGCACCCCATGCCTCCCCCTTGTCCAATCCTGCCCATCTCTCAGGGCCTATATGAAGCCTCACCTTCTCCAGGAAGTCTTCCCTGACCATTCTGGCCCATCCCACTCCTCTGAGCTCTAACAGGTAGAGTGAGTGGCTTTCTGGGATCCATGACTATACTAGCAGTGTGTGTGTGTATCCAAGTTGTGTGAACTTGGGCACATAACTTTCCCTTCTTGGTGCCTTAGTTTCCCTGTCTGAGAAATGGGCAGGAGAATGTTGGCCTTGAAGGATTGTCGTGAGGTTTAAGAAGGGAAACTCTGCATGTGTTCTGGGTGCTGAACCAGGGCTTCAGAGAACCCAGAGCTTCCCTCCCTACCTTTAGGAAGCCCTGGTACCCACCTTAGCCCAGGGATGGCAGCTACTTGCCTTGGTTCCTCCTCCATCTGCCAGGACACGTGGCCCCTGGCGGCGTTCAGATGCCCCCTGGTCACCTGCAGCTGCCCCTGCACCTCCTCCAGCCGCCCAGCCAGGTCATGCTCGGTCTCCCGCAGCTGCTGGTTCTCAGAGCTGGCCTCCTGGTGTGTGCTGCTGAGGCGGTGGAGCTGGGCCTCCAGCTGCGGGAGGTGGAGGGTGAGGAGGAGAGAAGCCCCGGGGCCCTCCAGGGCGACAAGCAGCCTCCCAAAGCCACTGTGGAGCACAGACTCCAGGCTCCTGGAGACCCAGCTTAAACAAAGGGTTGAGGGTTGGTGGGGGCGGGGCGTGGTTACCCCTTGTTGGCCTGATTAGCTCCGTGACCTCCCGTCCAGGAGAGACACTTGAAATGCTGGACAGGGAGGACAGAGGGACTGTGTAAGAAACACAAACGGCCAGCACCACAAGGACCCGAAACGTAGATTGGATCACACTCTCCTCTGCTCAGAGCTCCGCAACGGTTGCTTGTCTCTGAACCCCAAGTGGTCCACAGGGAGCTCCTGAGCCACAGCAAGTCACATACTCAGAGATGGGGGGCTGCTTGAGCACTCAGAAGGGAAAGTGAAGCCTTCACAGTGGCATCCAGTGCCTGCACAGTCCCTCCCGCCCTGTGAGGTCTCTGCCCTCCTCTCCCACTCCTCTCCCCTCCCTCTGTCTGCTCCAGCACATGGGTCTCCTTGCTGCTCCCTGGATATTCATGGCACGCACCTACCTCAGGGCCTTTGAACTCACTGTTCTCACCGCCCGGACTGCCCTTCCCCAGGTATCACACGGCTCATGCCTCATCTCCTTCAGGCCTTTACTCCAATGCCATCAACTCAGGGAGGCCTTCCTGGACCCTCCTGTCAAAACCCTTCTACTCTCCTTCCTTGCTTCCCTTCATTCTCCTTAGCACTTTCACTCTCCAGCCTCCAGGATGTTATAGATTTTATTTGCTTATTTTGCTTATCATCCATCTTCCTGACTAAGGCCATCACTCTGTGGGCAGGGGTTTGTGTCTATCATGTTCCTCAGGACCCTAGAGCAGTGCCAGGCACTAGTAGGCATGCTGTAAGAATTGTCAGGTGAAGGAATGAATGACCTCAGAGGAGAGGCTTCACATCTACGGGAGACAGGACAAACTGGCCCCATTTTGGAAAGTTCAAACTCCTCCCTTGGCTCAAGGGGCCTGCCTCAATTTCTAAGGAGCAGTGGGCATCTGGAAATCAGCCCACGTTGGGAAGGTGAGACCAGATGACAGAGCCAGGTGAGGCGACAGTGGAAAATGCTCTGGGAACCTTGCCCAGCGCTGAAGGAAAGGTGGTTGTCCTGGTTCCATCAGAAGGTGATTTTACTAAGGTCAGTGGTCCGGGAGTTGAGAAAGGAAGAGATGGTAGGGGGAGCAGGATCTCAGACCCAAACACCTAGCCGCGATGCCAACTGGAAGTGACTATGGGCTACGAGATCTGGGGTGTCAGGGCAGCAGGGAGCTAGGTCAGATTCAGAGTCGGTAACAATTGTGATGTGAAAAGCACCTCCCGTGTGCCAGGAACCATGCTAGGCCCTCAAATATGGTATCTTTAGTCACCCCAGCAGCCCTCTAGGGCAAGAGTTCTGATCTCCATTTTTCTGATTCGGAAACCAAGGCTCAGAGAGGTTAAAAACCTACCCCAGGTGACTCAGCTGTCAGCGGACATAAGAGTTGAATGCCACCCTATCACTCAGCCTCTCTAACACTGTGACCTCATGTTAGCCCAGTGCCTTTCTGTTTCAGAGTGCTTTCCTATTTATCACCTCATTTGACACAACTGGCCTAGGAGATGCAATAGATGTGGTTAGTCCCATTTTACAGATGGAGAAACTCAGGCCAAAGTTATTGCCTCAGGGGATCGATCCCTGGGTGGCTCAGCGGTTTGGCGCCTGCCTTCGGCCCAGGGCGCGATCCTGGAGTCCTGGGATCGAGTCCCGCGTTGGGCTCCCTGCATGGAGCCTGCTTTTCCCCCTGCCTGTGTCTCTGCCGGCCCCCACCCCCCCCCATGTCTCTCATGAATAAATAAATAAAATCTTAAAAAAAAAAAAAAGCAACAAAGTTATTGCCTCAGATTTGCCTGGCTCTTAATGGGAACAGCAGGGATTTGAACCTGGACCTTTCCAGTGGCCCCTCTGCACTACCTGACCTCATCTCGGCAAAGGGAGCTGCTCTCTCGGGAGCCTAGCCACCCCCATGAAGTCTGAGAAGCCGGGTGTCAGAATGTGGGACTCCTCAGAAACTGGGCTCCCGGGGAAGCGCTGGCACTCACCTCCCTCTGGCCCTCAGTGAGCCGTTGACATTCACGCTCCTTGGCCTCCAGGGCCTGCTGCATCTGGGAGCTGAAGGCCAGGCCGCGGGAGTCGCTCTGTGGAGCAGACAGGTCTCAGCCGCGCGGCCTGCTGACGCCCAGCCCTCCCCACACTCCACGCGCACCCAGGCCTGGGGTACGGGCTCTGGGAGGCCCGCAAGGACGCCTCTCACGACCGCTTCTCTGGCTCCGGCCGAGATTGTGGCAACAAGATTGAGGCCCGGAGAGTGAGACCTGGCCCAGAGGGCTGGGGCCGGGGGCCGAGGCCCAGCACTCCCCACCACATCTGTCTGAGGAATGCGGGCAGCCAGGGGGTGAGAGGAGCTGCTCCCAGCAGCCTCCTGCCCCCCCTTCCCGCACTGGCCAGCATCAGCCCGGGGGTGCCCAGGACGGGGTGAGGGGCGGGCTGCCAGGGGAGGTCACCTCAGCCTGCAGCTGCTGCTGCTCCCGGCGGATCTGCTGCTCCATCTCCTCATAGAGCTGCTGGACCTCCCGGTGGTGGTCAGAGTGCCGCCTGGAAGGGGTGCGAGGGGGGAGCCGGGCAGCCCGTGAGCACCAGGGGACCCTGCTGCAGGCAGGGCCGGTCTGGGCCTGGGTGTGGAGTCCATCTCGCTGCTCTCACTGACCCCTGTCACCCTGAGGACAGTCATCCTGACAATGGCCCCTGACCCGTACACCCTTGACATTGGTCACCTTGATCCCGACACACCGACTCCTGTAACCACCATCAAGATACTGGTTCCCCCGGCCCTGTCACATGGTCCCACTCGCCCCATCACTCTGCCCCACTTCCTGCTGTCACCATATCCCACCCCTAAGCTCAGAGCTGAGGGAATTCAATTCCCGTTCAGCTAAAATGTAAAGAGCACATACTCTGTGCCAGACACCAGGTGGGTGAGGCCCCCCCGAGCCCCACTCACTTCCTCAGCGTCAGCTCCAGAACCTCTTTGTCAGCCCGGGCCTCCTGCAGGCGGCTGGTCATCCTGGCCAGAAAGCCCTCCAGGTTGCCTGCCAGCTGGGGCTCCTCCTGCCTCAGCTTCCCCCACAGCTCCCAGATCTCTGCCTGCCTGGGGAAGGGGGACAGCCAGAGAGGAGATATGAGGTGGGGCCAGTAAGCAGAGGGCCCATTTCTCCATTTTATTGTATTGTATTGTATTTTTTATTTTCACTTTTTAAAGATTTTATTTATTTACTCATGAGAGACAGAGAAAGAGAGAGAGGCAGAGGGAGAAGCCGGCACCGCATGGAGCAGGGAGCCCAATGCGGGGCTTGATCTCAGGATTTTGGGACCATGACCCGAGCTGAAAGCAGGCGCTTAACCCACTGAGCCCCCCAGGCACCCCCCCACTTCTCTATTTTGATGGCAACATTCGAAGAAACTTGGGCTCCTGGGCCACAAAAATCTGTTCATATCCTGCAAGTTACGATTCGAGTTACTACCTCCTCCAGGAACCCTTCCCAGATGTGCCCTCTCCTTCTTGAACCCCCACGGTACTTTGTGGTTCCATGATTTGGCAATGGGGCAGGGGAGGAACTGGGAGTCTGATGGCCCCAGGCTGCCATCTGCCTTCCCTCTTCTCTCACCCTGTAGCTGTGTGACCTTTGGCAACTCCCTTGCCCTCTCTGGGCTTATTTGTACAAAGGGGAGCCTGATACCTGCCCAGTAGGGTCACCAGAGAATGAGCCGTGCCCAGTGAAAGTGCCAGCTTGGGGCCGGGCACATGGCTGGCACTCAATGCTGCTTTCCCAAGGATTTTTTTTAAATATTTTATTTATTTGTTAATGAGAGACGGAGAGAGAGAGGCAGAGACACAGGCAGAGGAAGAAACAGGCTCCATGCTGGGAGCCCGATGTGGGACTCGATCCCGGGACTCCAGGATCATGCCCTGGGCCGAAGGCAGGTGCCAAACCACTGAGCCACCCAGGGATCCCCCCCCCCCAAGGATTTAATTAAGTTTCGAACATAGATGCCAGAGGGCTGGGCCCAGGCCAAGCTGCCAAGTAGGTAAATGGCTCCCCATCCACCACACCTGCCCTGCCTGCCTGTACCCTGAGTCCCACCCTCTGAGAGCTTGTCCTCACAGAGCCCGTGAGGCAGGTAAACAGGCAGGGTGATTCCCCTGATGGTTCTAAGAGAACCAGGGGGACCTAGGAGGTGTGAGAGGGGTATTTACAGGCAGAAGTTCCCCTTCTCTGAGCATGAGTGAACCCCGTAAGCCCAGAGCCTGAGACAGTCTGGAGGAAATGCCCTCCCCATCTCCAAACCTGCCCAACCCAGGGCATCACTGTACATGAATCACTCCATTGGGGGGACCCTCTTTTCTTTTCTTTTCTTTTCTTTTCTTTTCTTTTCTTTTCTTTTCTTTTCTTTTCTTTTCTTTTCCTTTCTTTTCTTTTCTTTTCTTCTTTTCTTTTCTTTTCTTTTTCTTTTTCTTTTTTTTTTAGATTTATTTATTTATGATAGACATAGAGAGGGGAGAGAGAGGCAGAGACACAGGCAGAGGGAGAAGCAGGCTCCATGCTGGGACAGGACTCGATCCCGGGACTCCAGGATCGCGCCCTGGGCCAAAGGCAGGCGCTAAAACCGCTGCGCCACCCAGGGATCCTCGGGGCCCTCTTTTCTAGTTAAGAAAGGCCCCCTCAGGGACATCTGGGTGGCTCAGTGGTTGAGCATCTGCCTTTGGCTCAGGCCGTAATCTTGGGGTCCTGGTATCAAGTCCCACAGCAGGCTCCCTGCTTCTCCCTCTGCTTATGCCTCCGCCTCTCTCTGTGTGTCACTTATGAATAAATAAATAAATAAATAAATAAATAAATAAATAAATAATCTTAAAAAAAAAAAAAGCCCCCTCAGGGAGTCATGTTTTTAAGATTGTGACTACGCCTGGGAGGTTGATACCCCAGGCCGCTAATCCTGGGGAGCAATCACATAGGGCAGGATGGAGAGGGAGCGGAGGAGGGGGTGTGGGAGGGACTCCCCAAGAACAGGGCTTCATTTCATCCCACAACTGTCCTTACACTCACACTGCAGCTGGAGAACAGATGTCAAAGGTTAGGCTACCAGCCCACAGTCACACAGCTAACCCAAGTGGCCAAACCCAGATTTGCACCCAGCTCTACTTGATGGCCTCCCACCTGTGCCCAGGCCAGTCCTGCCCCGCACTGATGGGCAGTGCCTGCCCCTGCCTCCTACCCCCACCCCTCCACACTCAGTGCTGGCCTTACTCTGGGAGGACGTCACCTGCCCCCAGCTGCTGGATAAAGGCAAAGAACGCCTCCTTCTCCTCATGGTCAGCCTCCTCCAGTGCCAGGAAACTGGCAGCTGCAGGTTCTCTCTTGGAAGACAGTGGCCTCTTCCTGTGGAGCCTGTGGGTGCCCAGGCTGGAGCTGAAGGTGTTCTCTGTGGGACAGAGGGGACAAAAGGCTGCAGAGTGGGGTTGGGTCCACTGATCTCCCATCTTGTCCTGTTCCAGCCCTTGGGGAAGTAATTCTGTCTGTGTGATCACATTTATACAGGGCCACGTTCATACATTCGCCCTGTCATCCGTGGGAATCTGTTCAAGGTAGACATTCTGACCATTTTATGACCTGTAAATGCAGATTCCTGGCCTTCTTCCTCCTTGTCCCCCAGACTTTCGGAGATTCATCAGGCCTGAGAACTCTGAACGGCTTTGCAAGCATTTAAGCCTGAGCTGTGCTCTGCAGGGTCTCGGCAAGGACATTACACCTTCCATTGCCCATTGCCCTGGCGGGAAAGTTTACCCGCATCGAGATCAGTGGGAGTATTGTGCTCTGCTGACCTTGGCCTTTTTAGGACCTTTTGGGCCTGTCCTGAGAAGCAGGCATTGGAGTAGCCCTGCCCAAAGGGGGACAAAGAAAGCCTGGGAAGCCCCCAACTGCTAAATATCACCCTCTGTTGCTCCCTGGGGCCTGGAATTCCCAAAACCAGAATGTGACCTTCCTCAGGCAGAAACAAAGCCTGTGGTCTCAAGACTGGAGGTTGCTTAACCTCTTGCTCAAGGGAACCTTTTGCTGGGGAGAAGACAAGTGAGGCATCAGAAAGTAAGCAAGCCTCCAGGCCTCCCTGGAGGAGGAGGATGCCAAGAGGAGCACCTCCGTCCCCAGCCAAAGAACTGCTCTTGCTGATAGGAAAGGAAGTGAGCAGGTCTCCTGGGCTAGAGCCTTAAGGCCTAGCCCTGTCTTAAACCAACTGCTTGCCCACACAGACTTAGTATCCTCATCTCCAGAGTAATTCATATCATCATCCATGCCATGAACTGCTCTCCGGGTGCTGTGGAGGTTCCCTGTTGCCTTTTATGTCAGCCTAGCCTCCCCATACTGGGCGCACTGCATGGGATGCCTGGCTATGCAGCAAGTCACTAGAGGTTCTCCCAGGACAGACATACTGAGCCCAGAGCTGAATTCTTCCAGAGAGAGGCGTCCCTTCTGCTCCACATCCACCCAGTCAAAGATCATCCTCAGCTCCTCTTCGCTGCCCACGAAGCTGAACTTGGCCACCTGCAAGGAAGAGGTAAGTTGGCGCTCTTCGCCTTGGGGAAGACTCTGGGCTATCCTCAAAAAAAGAGAAATGTTTGTCTTTAGCGACCCCCACCACTTCCCTCCCCAACTTTGGAGTCCCAGACCCAAGCTGATCCAGGGCCTACCTTGGAGGCTCCAGGACCCCACTCAAGACGGCCCTCTCGGGAGAGCCTTCAACTCCCTACACATCTTTTCCCTTCCTCCATCCGACATCAATAAAAACTTACCCGTTCTGAGTCCATCCCTAAGGACGGTAGCTAATCCTCCCCAGAACGTGTTTATCGAGATCCAAAAAAGTTATCTGGAATTTGAAAATAAGTCCCAAAGGTGGACAGCACACTCTTTCAGCATTCCACAGGGGCAGAGGCCACCCAAGCATCTTCTGGACTGTAAGAATGTACTTCATTTCATCCCCTGGGACAGACTGGAGATCTCAGATGACCTCAAAGATTTATGACCTGTTGTACATTAACCAGCTTTGAAAAATCAAACTCAGCAATCTCGTTCTAACACTTCTTTGTTATCCAGCTTTTTAAATGCTCTGTCAGCTATTCATGGCATCTCTCATTAACTAATGAGCTAAATAAAACTTTTAAGAGGGATTTATTTTCTTTTTGCCCAAGGGTCATGATTTTACCTTTTTGGAACTCGTACTGTAAGAGTTTTGGAGGTTCCATGGAGATGTCCCCGTAAACTCACTTGTCAGAACCAAGTAATGTGTGGTGCTGGAGATGTGCCCCTCATGGGCTTTGAGAAACTCAAACATTTCCTCCCTTGGCTCTTGGACAGAATCCCATGTGTGACAGAACTTTAGGTTTGCTGTTTCTTGCTATTGTGGTTTGTCTTTTTTTTCTTGCTGATTCTGTGATTTCATTTTTGGTGATAGCAATGATGGGGAATTCAGCTCTATGGACTGGCCATTGGCGATCCCTGTGGGATGCATGATGGAAACAGAGTATCTGTTGGTTGAGAGGCAACAGAAAATCTGATTTGCTGGTCTTTGTTGTTGGTGGTGGTTTTTCTACGTATGCTCCAAATTGGTGAAGCATTTTGTACCTGCTAGGAAGGAGACCAGCTCTTTGAGTTCTGGACTGTTTAGTTTTGTGTGTCTGTGTTTACTTTTGATCTGTGCCCTGGAGTTGTACGTATGAAGCCCCTGGGTCTCTGTATCTGGGTGTCTACATGGCTGTAATTCAGAAAGACCTTTAGCTCTTCTGTGAGTGTGAAATCGTTTTCTACATCTGGAGGGTATTAATGACTTAGAGTACTATGTGTCTTACAGGGTTTCTGTGTTGATTGGTTTGTAGAAACAAATAGGCACTAATATAAATCTAATGTTCTCCGGAATCATGAATAAAGAGACTGAATTTCTAGTGCTTTAAATGTGCTAAACTTTATTTATTTATTTAAAGATTTTGGGGATCCCTGGGTGGCGCAGCAGTTTAGCGCCTGCCTTTGGCCCAGGACATGATCCTGGAGTCCCGGGATCGAGTTCCACGTTGGGCTCCCGGCATGGAGCCTGGAGCCTGCTTCTCCCTCCTCCCGTGTCTCTGCCTCTCTCTCTCTAAGTCTATCATAAATAAATAAAATAAATAAATATTTTTTAAAAGATTTTATTAACAGAGAGAGAGAGAGCACGAGCAGGGGGAAGGGCAGAGGGAGAAGCAGACTCCTTGCTGAGTGCAGAGCCCAACAACAAGGGGCTCAATCCCAGAACCCTGAGATCATGACCTGGGCCAAAGGCAGATGCTTAACTGACTGAGCCACCCAGGAACCCCTAAATGTGCTAGACTTAAAAAAAAAATCCCTCTTACAAGAAATTGCTAGCTCAGAAAGCTTTTAAGGAGCCAGGTTAATTTAATTAGTGTAAATCTTTGGGTAAATTAGACTGGTTTAGTAATTTTGTTTATAAAATGCAAATAATGGCTATCAGTGTTTGCTTTATATTAAGTATAATACAATTAAACATTCTACTTTTTATAAGATCTAGATTTGTTTTATGTGAAGAAACTAGTTAATCTTAATTTCTTATACTTCTGATTTTGTCTTACTGACCAAATAAGTCAACATTATCCTTACATAATGTTTAAATTTTTTTTTATAATTTTTTAAAATTTATTTATTTATGATAGTCACACAGAGAGAGAGAGAGAGAGAGGCAGAGACATAGGCAGAGGGAGAAGCAGGCTCTATGCACCGGGAGCCCGACGTGGGATTCGATCCCGGGTCTCCAGGATCGCTCCCTGGGCCAAAGGCAGGTGCTAAACCGCTGCGCCACCCAGGGATCCCTTGCATAATGTTTAAGATAAGAAAAATGTAAATTTGTGTTCAACTAAGTTAATTCATTACACAGTTCCAAGATCCTTAGGTAACTTCAAAAATGTGAATTAATAATAATTAATAAATAATTTTTGGCTACAGGGACAGTTTCTGAGAAAAACTGAAATATTGATTGCTAAGCATAATTTTAAGTTTATGTCCTTTTACTTTTTATTTTTACATGCAAGAGGGCAGCTATAACTTTGGGTTATGTTAATGAGTGAATTCATTTTTGCCACTTTACTTTTTTTTTAAGATTTATTTCTTTATTTGAGAGAGAGAGAAAGAGCAGGTGGAGGTGGGGGAAGAGGGAGAGAAAGAATCCCAAGCAGACTCCTCACTGAACACAGAGCCTGACCTGGGGCTCAATTTCACAACCCTGAGATCATGACCAGAGTCCAATGCTTAACCTTCTGAGCCACCCATGTGCCCCCATTCTTGCCACTTTAAATAGTTGTGCAAGGCCAAGCAGAAACTCAAGACTCAAGTAGATATTTTTACACCCAAGTTCATAGCAGTGCTATTCACAATAGCCACAGGATGGAAGCAACTCAAATATCCACTGAGGGATGAACAGAAAGACAAAATGTGGTCTATGCATACAGTGGAATATTGGTCAGCCTTAAAAGGGAAGGAAATTCTGACACCTGCTATGGCATGAATGAGCATTAGGGACATCATGCTGAGTGAAAGAGGTGGGTCACAAAAGACAAATGCTATATTTTCTCGCTTGTATGAGGGACCTAGAGTGGTCAAATTCATAGAAAGGAGAGTGGGGGATTCCAGGAGATGAAGAGAAAGGAGAATGGGGATGGGAACTCTGGGACACAGTTTCAGTTGGGGAAGGTCTGGAAATGGGTGGTGGTGATGGTTGCACCAATTGTGAAATGCACCCAATGCCACTGAACTCTAAACATAAAAATGCTTAAAGTAACAGATTTCATGTTATGTATATTTTTTGACAATTTTCTGAAGATTTTTTATTTATTTATTTGAGAGAGAGAGAACAGGAACAGGGGGAGGGGCAGAGGGAGAAGGAGAAGCAGACTCCCTGCTGAGCAGGGATTCCCAATGCGGGGCTTGATGCGGGGCTCGATGCAGGGTTTGATCCTAGGACCCTGGGATCATGACCAGAGCTGAAGGCAGATGCTTAACCAACTAAGCCACCCAGGCCCCCCTTTCATGACAATTTTTTTAAGACTTGTGCAAGGGATATGTGTGACTGTAAAATGTTGTGTCGTGTCTGTTTGTGAACTTTGCTAAATCTACTAAAATGCTTAAATAACACAGATAGTGCTCCATTATTTGCATCCCAGCTCTTTCTGTGAAATAGAAGTTAGTTATTTTGGTTAAAAGTTATAATCACTACAGATGTTTGAGCCTCTACTAGGACCAACGGTGGCAGAGATACAGCTGTGTCTGCAAGGAAAACAGGATACGTTTTGATTTTCTAAGGAATAAGGAGAGGTTTTGTCTTAAGTGTCTGATTATTTCAGAACATGAAAAGAGATGAAAATACAAACTTGAAAAATTTGCTGAAAGGGAATTTTAGTTGCCTTGATTTATAATATCTAAGTCTGAAAATAAGCTATGAAATGTGTTTTTGCCAAGTGACAAATTTGTCTCTGTTTTGATGGGTTTAAAATAAATAATTTTTAAAAATTGTTATATGTTATATGCCACATGTTATATTAATGCAAAAACTAGAATTCAGCTCTATCTCCATTAAAATGATGAACTGGTTATAGAGCTCTTAGCAGGAGTTAAAAAGTAGCTACTATTTACCTTCTGTGTAAATTGTCAAGATAAATTATTCCATATGTCAAGAGAATAAACTTCTCTGTTTTGGCTTGATCATATTTTCATTTATAAAACATCTAAGGCACCCTGAGAGCTTAAGTATCCTTGTAGTCATATTACCTTCTTCTATGTTTATCTCAAAATATTTTATTTTATTGTCACTTTGATTAAATAGGTAACAAAGTACTATTTCTCAGGCTCCTATGATTCTATCTTAATCCAGTGGCCAAAATCTTCTCCGATAGTTCTTCTGACTTTGCCTTCCCAATATAAGATCCTAAATTTGGGGGAAACAATTTTAGGATATCGTTCTCTGTCTTTATTAAATACTTCACTATCATAAGAGCAAGATAGGCAAGAAATAACAAGCATTGGCAAGAATGTAGAGAAAAGGAAACCCTCGTGCACTGTTGGTGAGAATGTAAATTGATGCAGTCCCTGTGGAAAACAGTATGGTGGTTGCTAAAAAAAATTCAAAATAAAACTATCCTAGGATCCAGCAATCCTACTTCTAGCTATTTACCTGAAGATAACACAAAGCAGTAATATGAAAAGATGTCTGTACTCCCACATTCATTGCAGCATTAGTTACAATAGCTAAGGCATAGAAACAACCTAAATGCTCATGGATGGAAGAACAAATAAATACGTGGGATATATATACAATGGAACATTATTCAGCCATATAAAAGAATGAAATCTTGCAATTTGAAACAACAGGGATGGAACTTGAGGGCACTATGCTAAATGAATTATGTCAGACAGAAAAAGATAAATACTGAATGAGTTCACTTATATGTGGAATCTAAAACCAACCAACTAACCAACAGACCGAAAAACTGAGCTCATGAATACAGAGA